GCCTTGGCATTTGGGGGGAACACAGGGATGGGACTGACTCAGCTTCACATTTCAGCACAGTCATGCCCCATCTCCATGGCAAGACCACAGCATTTGATTTATAAAAATGCATATTCATACGAAATTAATATAAGGTTCCTGTTAAAGGAAACAGATGGATACGTAATTCCTTATTTGAGCATTTTGAACAGGTAATCTCCTTTTCCCCAGCAGTGTGTATAGATAATGTCAGGAGGAGCTGAAATGAGGAGGTTAGCCTGAACTGAGTGAACAGCTTTCTCTCCTGGAGGAGATGTTTCCAGCTGTTCCCCCTCGGTGGTCAGTGCTCATATGGCAGTCCCTGGGGTCACTGCTGTTCAGATGTTAGCCAGGGATGATTCAGGGGAGCTGGCTCCGCTGCCTGGAGTTGTGAGTGGGCAGATGTGATGAGGCACAGGGGGAGTCAGAACTGAGCCCCCTGCTCCAGAATGCCTCCTGCTGCAGAGTGCTGGGAGATGCAGCCCGAGCAGGGACTGCTCCAGCGCTGGGGACTGCTGTTCCTGGGGTGCCCTTGGTGTCCCCGTGGCTCTGGCTGCTGGGAGTGTGCTGATTCACCAGTCGGTGGGTGGTGAGAACTGTGCAGTCTCTGGGGGAGGAAATGGCTGGGTTGCTGGAGGGAGAAGGAGCATTTTCTGTAACTGCAGGATGTGTGGATGGAGCACACAGATAGTTTATCTCCAGCAGATCGGTTAAATACCCTGGTGCTGTGAGATAAGGATTTACTAGAGGGCTAAAATAGGATGTGAAACCGAGGTTTTTTCATCTTGCACTCAAATAAAGCAGTGTTTTAAAAAGTCATTGAGAATTGTCCTCTGTTTAAAGGGCTTGGTTTCTAAAATATGAATGAATTGTGTTACAGGAGCCATGTCCCTGCCTATTTTTAACAACAACTCTCAGTTAGTTGGACTTGGAGGAGAGAGTTGCTCATTTAAATGCAGATCAGAAGAAATAACAGATTAGTTGAAAGAGTACGAAAGGGAGGGTGAGATACACGATATGCTGAAGGTGTGGCACAGAGGTCTTTGAGAACAAGCCAGCTGGGACACTGAGAAAGCACAAACACAGCTCAACAACTTAGAGCCCAACTAAGCCTATTCATGCAGCACCTTCTCAAGTTTTATGTGTGTTTATGGTGCTGTTTGTCCTCTGTCCAGATAATCTGTCAGGAGATAAGAGTGTTTACTTTTGCTACTTGTTCAATCAGCAAGCAGAATATTTGTTCTAACACTAAAAGTCTACTTCCAAAGTAACATGTCTGCTTTTCTCATTTAAAAATTCTAATGCTACTGCAGTAGAAGTTGGAAATGGAAGATGTCATTTGATTTGAAATCAATTTACAGTAGTTACCTGAACAAAAATTCAGCTGCTAATCTAGTAAAAATTGCATGTTTCAGTATATGACAGTTTACTTAGCTCTCACAATCCAACAAATAGCTTTGACTGTGCCAGTGTGTGGAAAATGAGGGTGCAAAATGAGAGAATTCACTCTCATCCTTGAACAGATATATAAGAGTTCTTGTCTGCACAACCCTCTGTTCTCAGTGTCAGAAAAGCCATGCCTTGTCTGGTTTATAGGTGGACTGTACACTGAAAGGAGGCAGCTGAATGATTTATCTTTTCCTCTTGTATGTCCCTATAATGGTGTTTCTTTATTAGCATTAGATTTGTCCCCTGAATATGAATTTGTGAACTGCCTGACTTCCAACCTTCCTTCTTCCTTCTGCTCTTCAGTGCTTTCTATCTGTCTCTTGAGTTTTACAGGACTGACTTCCAGGTATTGTTACGAAAAGCACCCAGAGATGTGTGGAGGACTTAAAAATTACATAAATGCAGTTAACCTGGGGTTAACAATAAAACCTTGAAAGAGTTACAAAAACATTCTTTTGTCTACTTCTAATCAAACTGTATAATTGTGTAATATTAATGGGGGGAGGTTGGGATCTTTATAGAAATAATGCAGCTTTTGCCTCTGGTCTCCTACTGTGACTGTCTTGAGGCAGCTTTCAGAGCAGACAATTCTGAAATTTTTTAAAAGACCATTCTGCTGGATTTTGAGGTACCATAACAGAACATGTGCTCACAGACAGAGCTGTAATTTATTAATTATTCTGTTAAGTTCAGGAGTTGAAAGGGAACCAGCACGGCTTTATCGAAAAGAAGGAAATGTGTGGTTAAACGTTTCTGGCTATAGTCTTAGGTGGTTTCCATTTTCCAGAAAGAGAGAAAGGGGAAAATGAGTCTAAATTCCTTCCTCTGAAATAAATTAAAAAGTACCAGTATGCTTTATTGTGTTTTAATGAGAGAAAAGTTCCTGCATAAACTCGTGGAGTTTCAATGTGAATTATACTACATTTGAATGATTATATGGTAACTTCAAAACTTGAATATCTTGCTAAGGAATTCATCTTTGAGCAGTGAAAAATGATTGTTTATCAGGGTTTTGAAGAGCTGCTGAATGGGTGTTGTGAGGCTTTCGGGGCTCTGACTGGGGAGCAGGGGCACAGTGTTTATCTGGGAGGGTCAGGCCGTGTGCCAGAGGTTCACCCGCGCTGTGTCAGCAGCTCAGCTGTTGGGCACCGTGCTCAGGGCAGATGGCAGGCACCAGGGATCACCCTGGCTCGCGCAGCTTGCTCCCCCTTTGACTTCTGAAGATTTCCACAGAACCTCCAGCGCTGCTCAGGCGTCCAGGTGGTGTGTGAGGCATCGCATTTGAAGTGCTGAGCCCTCAGCAGCTCCGTCTGAGCTGCCTGCTGTCTGCACCGAGCCAGGAAGTGTGCACTTCATGCACTGGCAGCTGCAGTGACCAAGGCAGTGAACAGCCACTGAAACGAGTCAGTGGCAGCACAATATTGCTTGGCAAAGAAACAAACAGAAAGTACTCCTGGACAACTCGGGAGGGCGGGTTTTGTCATCTGCAGGAAGTTCTAAGCAACTTCTGACGTCCCAGGCTCCTGCTGTGGGCCAGAAGGATAGGGGAGGCTAGGTGAGAAGTAAAGCCTAAGTGAAGATCAGCAAAGGGCTTGTTTGCTGCTGTAAAGCAACTGGCATTAGAGTACAGGCTGCTTTGTCTTTACAGACCTATAGTTGGCTTGTGCTGTTTTTTTATTTCCCCTCTTGAATTATTCTTCCTTCTCCTGAGAAGAGAATGACTCTTGGTACTAATAGCCTCTTTTAACTGTTTTTCACTTTTAAAGTATTTAAACACATCTGTTAAGTTGGTGATGTGCACTTTGCTTCTTTGTGAGGTGGCTGAGTGAAGGCTGTTCCGAAAGGGTGCAGTGTGTTTGGCGTGTTTGAAACGCTCAGTCTCGAAATGAGGGCTGTGGGAGGTGGTTTCCTGGTCGTCCACGTCTTACTCAGGCTGGTTCTGACACCTCTGCTCCCAGAGCTGGCCGTGTGCTGTGCTGGCATCGCCAGGGCTGGGGGATGACTCGCAGGGCTGGGCCTGGGTGCAGGCACAGAGCACTGTCAGTGCTGTCAGCAGAGACCCTGCAGCAGAGACCCTGCAGCAGAGTGCACGTGGCAGGAAGATCTGCATGGACTAACCTTTGTCTCTTCATTACTGAGCTACTGCATGCTGCACTAATTAAAGCATCAGGAGTGTGTCCCTTCGGACTGAAGTGTGACAAGTTGTAGGAATCAGGCTTGGAGACCAAATGTGTGTTTTCTTTGGCAAATAACTTACTTGTTTGTCAGTTGGATGCACGTTATTTGTTCCCTTTCTCCCACTCCTGGGTTGCCTCTCATATGGTTTAGTGCCTTTGCAGAAGGGAGGTTTAGCTTCCCCTCTGCCTCCTGCCTCCCTGGGCTGTGCCTTTTCTGCCCCAGTGACCTTTTACAGCACTAACCATCAACTGGGCTTTGATGAGGATTGGCCAGAGGATTAATGCAGAGCTGTTAGAGGAAGTGCTGTGTGAGAATTCCCCTACCTAGCTGAGCTGCTCCAGAAGGCTGGAAAAACTCTGGATTTGAACTGTCTAAGCATCTTCCAGTCTGAAGTGGGTGCAGGCCTGTGTGCATGGTTTGCCTCTCTGGTGATTCAGCGTAGACAAACTCTGTTCCACAAGGGGTTTTGACTTGCCAAGTAGGCTGAAATAACCACAGAAGGTTGATTTTTCTTTTTCTTTTCTTTTTTTCTGTACAATTGAGGTAATTTTGCTGTGACTTTTGTTTAAGGCTGATGTCATTAAACGCAACATGTCAAAATTGTTTAGTGTTGTATCTGCTTCTTTTTAAGTTCCTTTATGTCACCACTGTATCATCTGCCATTATCTAGATGAAGTGCCTTAAGCTCATGCATTATTCCTTGCTGCAGCTCAAGGCACTGTGTACACTGATTCTGTACTTGGATTTTCATCATCTGGTGTTGCTTCTTTTGAGAAGCCTTTCCCACATGCTAGAATTGACACAGGAAGCTTCCTTATTTTTAGCACAGTGTGTATATATAGTGTATTTTATAGAATTCTGACTAGTTCATAAATTTGAGGAGGATTGAAACTAGTGCTTGCTCTTAGATGAAAGCACTCATGTGTTGGTGTTAAACACAGTGCTTCTTGGGAGTAGGAAGGTGTGTGTTCATTTATCTATTTAAATGTGCTGTAAAGGATCCTCCCTGTCTGGCACTGTGCCACTTCCTTTGTGACAGGAAGGTTGGCTGACAAGAAAAACAGTTAATTTAACTGAAAGTTGTAAGAATTCTAACCCAGCCAGTTTATAAAATGAGAACACAGCTTAAATTTATTCCATGCAGTACAGTAGGCAAAAGTTAAAGCACTGACTTGATTAAAATGAGTTCTTGGAAAGGAGGCAGAAGAAGCTGTTAAATGGAGTCTCATGTTACCAGCTGGTTTGGATGTTCTTCTAAGAATACATAGAGAAGCTTCCTGGCTGAGTGTTTTCATTGTGCAGGCACGTGTGGAAGCGCTTCCAAACCCACAGCATGTGTTCTGCTTTTCTTTCAGGTGTACTTGAAGGCACCTATGATTCTCAATGGTGTCTGTGTAATCTGGAAAGGCTGGATAGATCTGCAGAGACTGGATGGTATGGGCTGCCTGGAATTTGATGAAGAGAGAGCACAGGTAAGACAGCCTGCCCGTGGGTGCTGGGCCTCAGGCACTCGTTCTTCTGGAGGGAAACACAGTCAGGTAGTGATCACAAATTCTGATTTGCTTTTTTTTCTACCTTCACTTTGAGTACAAACTCCAAAGAAAACTTCTGTACTCTAAGTTCAGAAATGTGTGGCTGTAGCTAAACACTAGTTTAGCTACATTAGGTCAAATCTTAGGGATGGGGATCACTTGTAGTTTACAGCTACACTGTTACTATGCTACAGAGCAGTAAATCAAAGTATTTGAAAAACTGTGCATGTATCTTGTAACAGTTTGATTGGCAAGTCTATTATAGCTGTTTATTTTAGGATGATTGAGGTTTTTTAATTAGCTTTTTGTTTTATTGCATGTGGGCGAGAATGAGTAGTGATTTTATTTGTCCTCTAATGCTGGTGGGCTCTGCTCTGTTAAGGTATGGCAGCTTTTGAGAACTTATCTGCCTGCTTCCTACCAGCAAAATTACTGTCTAGCAGCTGAATCTTTGGACATGCACAAGAACAAAGCCAAGACAGAGGAAATGGCTTTTAAAGTGGATATCACACAAACAAGGTTCACTTCCACAGTAGGATTCTTTAACTCAGTCAGACTTGAGACGTGTCTTTGCTTTTGAGATGTAGCTTGGTTTTTTGTGCACTGGAACTGTGGTTTGTGCTCTTTTTGTGTGGGGGGGATGTGTGCACGCTCTCAGGTGTCAGTGCTTTTGGAGTTGTGAGCACAGGGTGCTGAGCTGGAGGTATTTGGATCGACAGAGATGTGTTTGCCCTCAGTTCCAGGTGTGTAATTTGTTTTCAGTTTGTGCTTCCTGGCGATTATGAGCTCATCCTTGGTCATCCTATTTGCCACAGTAGCAGTACCCAGGGGCTCCTGGTGCCATGAGGAACTGTACAGGCACACAAGTAGCTGCACCCTTACGTGTTAGTATTGTAAACACTTGGGCAGTCTTTCACAGCCTTAAGTTTCCTTTTTCCTGTGTCTGTCACTGCCTCCTTGTTTAGAAGTGTTGTAACACTGCTAGAGGCAGTTGACCTGAGTGCTGACATCGATCCCAGAATAACACTGATGTCAGGCTGGGCTGAAGTGCCTCCTACTGTGCCTTGTAGGGCCTGTGGTACCCACTGTCCCTTGTCATAAAAGGTGCTGCTGGACTTCACACACACCCCTGTTTTCTGGAAGGCTTGTCTTAGGGAAAAGCAGTGCTCTTGCATTTTCCTCTCTCTTACCACTTCTTACTAACTAATGCTGAGATCAGATAAAATGTCTCTGTGCTGTCACACTTCAGAAATTATACTACCCTTCACCAGGCCAGCAGATATTTTAGGAAGAAAATCCACACACATAACACTGAAGTACTTTAATTGTAACTGTTAAGCTACTGTTTTTTCTACTTAATCCTCAGCCTATTCATGGCTGGTCACTAAGCAGTCTCAGTGTTTATTATTAAAGGCCCTGGTTCTGCTGCTTGTTCAGTCTTTGATGCACTGACACACACACAGATGTACATACACGCTTGAACATCTTCCCTCTGTGGGGCTGAATTTGTTTGTTTGTTTGGGGGTTTTTTTGTGTTTTTTCTTTCTGGATTGGGAAGTTTGTTTTCATTCTGTTGCAGTGTTGATATAGCTCATGTTTTGCTTATTATTTCTTTTCTTACTAGATTCATACAAGGAGCATTTCTATGGAATAAAACTAAGATGTATAAATGATTTGGTCTCAGACAGCTGCATTCACTAAGCTGTAACTCCTAGAATTGAGTGACATTTTAAAAAGTGTTAAATTCCTGTTGTATAAGATTGAGACATTGGTTAATTTGTTAGAATGTCTCACCAAGAGTAGAGCAGAAGTCTTTTCTTTTTTACTAAAAAAAAGAAAGTTCTTATGCTTTTTTCTTCCACTTTCTCAGACATTGGTAAACCAGTGTTTCAGCTGTCAGCACATCTTCATTCTGGATGTCAATATACTGATTTTTTTCTCCCCCATGAATTTCTAATTCGGTTTCTTTTGGTTATGACCATTTCTCTAAAATATTCTGGCTGAGGCTCTGTGTCATCCTTTTAGTTCATGACCACTGTAAATGATGGCAAAATGCAGAAACCTTTGATGATAAAAGAATCTGCTTCTATTTAAGTCTGTTTAAGAAAAGGGTAATAAAGACATAACTCTCTTCTGTAAGCTTGGAGGCAGCTTTCCTGTAGTCATCTGGGAGTCAAGCTTATCTGTTTTCTGTCTCTCCTTCTGCATTATTAAGAACAAACTTACTTTCTGCTGTCTGACCTGGATTGCTATGCCTTGTATGAACATTAGGGTAGCTATGAAGGGCCAAATCCCACTCTTAAACATAGTAGGTGGTGTTAAAACGTTGTTGGCAGCTCTAAACATTGCTGTGGAGCTCTGGGGAGCTGTGTGCAGAGCAGTGCAGTGGCAGCTGGTGGTATTTCCCTGCCCTGGGCCGGAGGGAGCCCCTTGCCATCACTTCACAGAGCAGCCCCGGGGCCCACGGCTGTGCCCACGGCAAAAAAAGCAATTTACCGTTTGCTCAGGCTGGGCATGCTTTATCTTAAATTAAAACATTTATGTGCTTAATCCCCTGGGATGTTAACACTTAGCTGGGCTCTCTGCATGTCCTCTACCAGTCAAGGTTAGCTGCTTTTATAGTGATCAGCTCTAAAATAACGTCTGTGTGGGGGGTAACTGTAACAGGGTCAGTCAATTCCAGCTGGGAGGAGGGACAGCCAACACAGTTTGTCCCTCACTGTTTTGGGCAACCTCTTCAGACTTGACTCCTCCGTTCTGCAAATGTGAAAATTCTCATGGGGAACAGAAAATACGTGTTAAAGGACCTCTTTAAGAGAAATAACTTCTAACCCTATTAATAATGGCCTTACATAGTAATAACAGTTTGTTTGAAATGTTTTCTAGTAGAAGATACAGTTTGAAGGGTTATTTTTTCTGAGTGTTAATTTATTAAATCTATTCCTGTGCATAAGCCATTGTTGAAAATAAACTACAGAGCTGTTGAAAAGCTGCAGGTTTCTCCTCCACTGTAGGGAATGTGTGTTAATTAGTGGAGGAATAATTTCTGCTTTGCACTTTCTTATACAGCTAAATTTAAATAATATAAATGATACATAAGAAGTAAGAATGTTCATACTAATGCCCCTGCAGCATTCATTTTTGATAAAATGAAGGGTTTATTTGGTCTGTAACTTAGATAATACTTTTTTTTAAATGCAAGAGAATTAAATTACCATTGTTTATATAGTGATGCTAGTTGTCTCTGACTAGCTATAGCTATGAATACTGCCTTCAAAATTATTTTCATAAGGAGAATAAAATGTATTGCCTTTCTCATACAACTTCAGAGAATTCCTAGTTTTTTTAAAAAGCAGCAGCATTTAAAGTACTTTGGAAAAGCAGCTCTCCTTTGAAAGTGTATTTAACCAAAGCTGCCCCTGCTCTGGTTCTCTCTGCTGCTGCAGTGAGGGTGAGTGTTTCATTAACCTGGGCTGGCATTTGCTGGAACTCGTCTGTGTTCCAGCAGGTTCTGTGGGATGTTCTTGACTTTGCTGCCAAGTGATCCTTAATATTCATAAGAAACGTGATGTGGTAGAAAGGAGGGCTGCCTTTTGTGTCACTGTGTGTCATCTGGTTTGGTAGCAGGAGGATGCATTGGCACAACAAGCCTTTGAAGAGGCTCGGCGGAGAACTCGCGAATTCGAGGACAGAGACAGGTCCCATCGGGAGGAAATGGAGGTGAGGGTTTCACAGCTGCTGTCAGTAACTGGTTAGTACTCTCCCAAACCTTTAGATTGTTTCCATTTATTTGTCTGTTTGTACAATGCTGTGTATTTTCTGTTTGTTCAGTGCTGTGATATTGAAATTGCAAAATGCATTGGTTTTAACTCTTGGAAAAGTGGATTTAAAGTTTTTTAAGTTTTGATAAGAATTCTCTGATCTGATCCTTTTTTTCCTTTCTGTAGATGGCCTTTTCTATGGGTACTTCAGCTGTAAGGACACTTCATTTAATAAATGTAAGGACATTTATTCACAGAGTTGCCATTTCTCTCTCAAGTGATACTTTAATAGCAGGGAGAGATCTTTTGCCCCATGCATTTCTCTTGAACACAGAAAAGGCGTTGGGAGCTGTTGGCATAAGTTTGGAGCTTGCTATCCCATGTTGTGGGAAACATTATCAGTGAATTTAATCAGATGCCACGCTCTGCTTTCTTGTGCAGGCTAGTTTTATTGTCCTCTCACCTTTTTCTTACTGGCAGGGAGCCTTGCTCCTCTGTTTCAGTGGTTTCACACAGTTCCCCCTGTGTTGTTCTTTGCTTCTTCAGGGCCCCACAGGATTGAATCTTGTTCTTTCTTGATGAGAGCAGAAATTATGGAGCAGAAAAGAGGAGCCAGGAAGGGGAATGGAAACCAGCTGCTCTGAGATGTCAGAAAGGCAGGAGCTGTAAGAGGACGAGTAACAATACATAGGGGGAGTTGGCAAGTTAAGGCAGGCTGTAGGTCAGGCAGGGAACAGGGAGAACACAGAAATGCTCTGGATTTCTCTCCCTTACCAATGCTGTTTCTTACTTCCTGCTTCATCAGTGCAGCCTGGCTTTGCTGTAATCAAATATGATCAATCTGCTGGTTCTCCGGTTTTTAGGGAATTTGATTATTGTTATTGCTAAGCTGCTTTTCTTTTGGCATCCTTTCTGATAACTGAGATGATGAGACAGACTTTCTTCCCTTCCAAGTACAATTGGAAGACACTGAGCATGAGAATGAGAGGGAACAGGCAGACAGAGAACACCATCTCTCACTCTGAGGGGGTGGCTGGAGGATGTCTCCTTGCAAACACTGCAGCCAGGTCAGATGTCAGCTGGAACAAGGCTAAAATCCTTGCCTTGGAAGCTTTGCTGCCACTGGATCCTGGGAGTGACAGCTGGATCACCTGAGTGATTCTGTCACAGCAGAGCTAGAACCTGCCTGGGGGTCAGTTCAGAAGGAAGGCAGAATTAAAGCTGCTCATGAGGGTCTAATCTTAACAACACAAAGTAGGAACTTTAGGTCTGGCCTTATGTCTTTGACCTCAGTTTACTTAAAACTTTCCTTGATTTATTTTCCTCTCCTGTGTCCTTCATCCCCACTCCTGGTGCTGCAGAGAAGGAGCTGCGTGCATACTGAGTGCTGGAGGTTCAGAAAGAGTGAGGTTTCATGAAACAACTTCTGGAGTTCTGAGAGACTTCATTTTTCCTCCAAGTGTAGAAAACACTTTCTTGCAGCTAAGCTGTGCAAAAAAGCTCTTTCAGTTAACAGTGAGATTGAGGCAGTACTGAGCATCTGGGGTTTCCTGACAGACATCAAAACTCCTGACACTGAGACACAAGAAGCAACATCCCTGGCTGTGTGCTGGAGCTGGATTCAGGAACTTCTGAAATCCTCTTGCTCTTAACAAACCAGCAGGCAGTTGTCATTAAGTGATGTCCTCATTAGCTGTTAGTACCCATTTTCTCTTAAAACAACAATAGTTGTTGTCCCAGCTCTAAAGCACTGGTGTAGATCACCTACAGAAAGGAAGAAAAGGGAAAATTACTGACTTGAAATATGTTTAAACAGAATAAAAACATTGTCAGAAGGTGCTTCAAATTTATGTGATGGCAAATACAGATTTTTAATAATTGCAATACATTTTCATTCATATTTTGCTGTTTATTTTACTGTACATGTTTAATATGTCTAACCAAGAGATCTTTGCCTCAAATACTTGTAGGTCTATAATTGGTTTTCACATTTCAGCTTTCATTTGGGGTAAGGTGTAAAAACCCTGATCCAGACTGCCTTGGGTACTGCTTGTGCAGTTCAAAAGGTCAAACAGTGTCTTTGGTTGTACTGCAGAGATGATACTCGAAGGGTGTTTTATAGAAAAGCTCAGTTCTAAGTGTGCTGAGGGAATTTTTGGGGATGTTGTGCTACACCCAGATGAAGGTTCTGCCCTCTAATCTTTTTAATATGATCTCCACACAGCTCTCATCGTTACTAAAACTTAGGATTTTTCTTTCCTGCTAAGCTTGGCAGGGACAGCAAAACTCAGAATTGGCAGACGTGGAACAGCATCTCATCAGTGTTAATGATGGTTTTAGGAATTGCAACACTGTATAAAATCAGGGTATTTCTGACAGTGGAATTACAGCCGAAATGCCTTTAATAGAGACCAGATTCTGCTTCAGTGGGGGAGGGAAGGGGAATCCTGCAATATTCCACCCACTGCTACCCAAAACAGAGGCGCCAGCTCTTTGGAAACATTTATCCATCCAGAGCCTGGCACATATGAAAGTGATCAGATTAAATTCTTTATTTACACAGCTTTCTGGGTAAAAAAGATTCCCTATTCTAAGTCTCTTTGTAGACTTAAAGTGGTATATCCTTGCCCAGGAGTGATCAGTGATAAGTTGCTGACAGGAGTTAAAGTGGATTGTATGTGGCAATTGGATATTAGAACAGTGACACTTTGAAAGGGGAAAAACTAGGAAGTGTGGTAACAATTTAGAAATGATCACTTTATTAATTTTCGTTTTTAAGTATCCTAAAAATACCCCAACCAATTAAAATAATCCCCACCAACAAAAACCCTTCAGAGTGCTGTCAAGTTTGTTTGCCCCTTTTCTTCACAAAGAGTCCCTTCCATTCATGGCCACATTAACACACCAGATCTTTACTTTAATGAACACATTCTTTGCATCTGAGGGCAGAACCTGAGGTAGGTTGTGCCTGAATTTCCAAAGGTGGTTGCGTTTCTGTGCGGTTACAGCACTCCTCTAATGTAAATAGGGTGTGATTGGATTTAGGAATTTTCATTGAAGTTTTTAAGCACCTCTGAGTTGAACTGCATTCTGTTACATTTTTAACATAATTTGTTTTGAATACAAGATGCTTTTGAGTTTTTGTATCAACTTGTGTAGCTTGGTTGCATCAGATACTGCAAATCCTGCCTCACTGTTCAGGATTCTCTTGTTTCAAAGATGCTTTTGAAGTCAGTGAGTGTGCTTAGTGCCTTCAAAATTAATAATGTATTCTAATGGCTTTTACTTCTACAAAAACGTTGGAATGCTGAGACAGTGAATGTTTAATGATACACAGAAAGAAAGACCTTGTCCCTGGTTAAAGATTATAGTAAAAAAAAATGAAATAAATGATGGAAGCTCGTTAAGTTTAGGAACACTGGGCTGCTTGTCAGACTTGGACTATTTAATGGCTTCACACCAGTCAAAGGCAAAGTTCTCTGTCCATGAGCAAGTGCTACACCTGGGGAACTTGGTCTGAGGCTGTCACTGTAGGGGTGTGTTCTGGAACCCACTCCTCTGAACAGCTACAGGAACTTAAGTGTTTGTACCCCCTTTAGCAAACCCACAGGAGAGGGTGAGGAGACTGAAGGGACGTTGGTGAGGTATTTAATGCTCACTGTGTCTTGATCTCCTTGTGTCTTGGTTGAGAGAGTCAGTGTGAGCATCTCTTCTGCTGGGTTTCACTATGAATGACCAGAGTTCAGTGCCAGATAAGAACTTTTCTGCAGAAATTACTGTCAAGTTGCTGTCTAGAAGTGCTTGAATTTTCCAGTAAAAGCCTTTGCTCGTTATTCAGTCTTCTGGCCACGGTAACGTGATGCAAAACCGTGTTACAGTGTGGTGAGTGGCTGGGACAGACTCAAACAGCTCCTGCTTGTGAAAGTAGAAGCTGCAGAGAGGAACAGGCTGTGCTCAGGGCAGGGGAGCTGCAGGCAGGGCCTCCTGCCCGCTCCTCGCTGCAGCTCCTGGCACAGAGGGGGTTCCAAGGGGTGGGAGAAGAGAAGAGACGAGGCTCTCTGGGTGTTGCTGCCCACGGGTCAGGGTATTTTGTGAAGGTTTGTTTTGTATTGCAAACTGCAGTTTCAGACGTGATGTGACCCGAGATGGCAGTTAGTCCGACTCGCTCTGGAGCTCAGCTAAGGATGCTCCACTGCTTTCCTTGGGGAGTGTTGGATCTGATCTCAGGCTTCCAGTGGAATTTCTTCAACCACTATTTTAGAAATGTCATCTTTTTCTACTTTGGGTTCATTTCCTACGTTACTGCCGTGCTCTTTGTTGTAGCAGCACTGTGAGTAAAGAAGCAGAGCGGTTTGCTTGTCCCTGAAACGGTCTAGTCTAGCAATCTGTCTGTTTGTGGTCTTGTGCTAAATATAAATTACATTAATGCCTAAGCAGAACCATTCTGGGAGACTGCATGAAATTCCCATTTTAAAAACCTTCATTTTGCTGAAAAAAAACCCCCTGGTTTGAAACTTTTGTTTCTTGCAGTAGCAATCCCTCTCAATACAAAGCACCAAAAAACCCCCACCAACCCCAGCCTTTAAAAACTGCTGGAGAAAAATTTACCTACATTTTAAATACTTAGTCCTGCCCTAGGTTTTTACACATTTTTGTTGTTTGTCAGGAATGTTTTCATTTAATTGTGCTCAAGTCCTGAACTCTTAAAAAGCAAACAGGATTTTGCTGCAGAAATGTAAACACTTTACAGTTGAAAGCAGAATCAAGTAGTAGGACTGACTTGCATGCTTTCATGTTCTTCCAAGGTTCTAGATGGTAAAATCATTCTCCCTTCTTTCTTATTCTTTTTTAAAGATGAAACTCCTAGTGTGAATAAGTGTTCTAACTAATTATAAGTGTTTTTGTCAAATCTAACTGGCTTCAGAAGAAAGTAGAGCATAACAGTAAGTTTGGAGGATTTTTTGTTTAAATTCTGTTAGTTTGTTTTGTTGGGGTTTTTATATATATATATATATGATTTTTTTCTCATCAAACTCTATGATTTTTAAGGAGTTTTTTCCCTCAAAAATTAATTAATTAATACTTACTGTATGTACTCTCCAAACTGGCAATGATATAAAAATAGCATAACCTTTAATACAGGTTTTTGGATATGAAGGAAACCCAAACTGTTAATTTTTCATGTGCAGTGAGTAGTGTACACTTGGTAGCTGTAATTTGTTTATATGCAGGAAGAATACAACATAATTTAGAAAGAGGCATTAAGGGTGTGTGTGGATTTGCCTCGAGAGGTTCTACAGTGGGAGTGCAGCACGAGCAAGCCAGTTCTGTTATGACTGGTTTGCTTCACAAGAACTTAGCTGGTGTTTGTGTGAAAGTGCTACGGGGTGCATAGATCACAAAAACAATTTGTGCTGCACAGAATCAATGCTGACTGCAGGACAGAGGGGATCAATCTTGCAAATCAGGGAATACTGTAATATAAGCGTCTTCTTTCAGTCAATGAAGGTTAGAAAGGGGCTGAGCAACAGAGGAAAACTGTCTGGAGGCAATCAATATTAATTATAAATTTATAACCTTTAGCCCAGCCTTCAAACAATACTTTCTAAGAGGGAGCGTTTCAAGCTTTTTTTTTTTTTTTTCCCTTGGAGAAGAAGTTCTAATACAAAGGTAAAAATCTGAGTCTCTCCTGGAGCCCTTCAGAGCCCCAAACTCTTGCTGTGCTCTTGCCTTTCCTTGCAGTGCCCAGGGTGGTGCAGCAGAGTTGTTACCCTGGACAGCTTTGAGACAGAGCTGCAGCCTGGCAGAGGCTCAGGCAGAGGGTGTGCTGGGTGGGCAGCAGTGCTGGGTGGCCTGGCCCTGCTCTGGAGCTCCCCAGCAGCTGCTGGGAGGGTGGCACAGCTGATGTGTCCTTATTTCAGGGGGTTTCGTTTGGGTGGGTTTTATCCTGCGGTTCTGTATTTTTTAGAAAAGTATCTGCAGTGTGTTCTCAGGTTTGGTTGTTTTTTTTTTTTTTTTTAATCCCTTTTCAGGAGGTTGACAGTCCTTCTAAGAGAATCCAAATGTTCACTGTTTAGTTTCTCATAACATAGCCTGATTTTTCACTTATTTAGTAAACTATAGATGGCAGATGCCAAGGCACATCATGCATCTGCTGTGTTTCAGCAGGATGGAGCTGCCAGAGTCCAGTTAAAGAACTGCAGTGGAGTTGTCCATGAAGAGACTTTATTTTGGCTGCTCTTTGTAACAGCCCTTCTTCCTTCCCTCCTCTTCACCGGTGTCCCAAGTTGTATGTGCAGTGAATATGGGTTGTACTTGTCATTTCACTGCCTGGTGCTCAGAGGTCCCAATTTTCCCTGCTGTTTTTTCAATGATTCATGGAAAGGGAGGGCCATCTTCATGGCAACCCTGTCCATCCTTCCCGAGTTCACTTCCAGCTTGCTGAGTTCTGCTTTCTGGGAGCTATCGTGTGAGCCACGCGGTGGGACTGCATTATCTTTTCCTGGTGAGCCCGTGTGGTGACAGGGCTTGGCTTCCTCGGTGCCTCAGAGGCCTCACAACACACCCAGGAAGGGGGAGTTACAGCAGCTCTCTCAGTCACTTTAAGGAGTTTGTTGGCACAGTTGAAAGCACCACTGGCTGCAGCACGGTCAGGATTGAGTGGCTGCAGGAGGAGGTGTCTGCCTGCCTTGGCAGCCTCAGGAACTGCCTGTGTGCCTCCTGCCTTAATTGCCATTATTCTTAGATTTGTTTTTCCTAAGAGCCCCAGGAGCAGATGTAAAGGCTCCAACATGGTCCTTTTTCAAAAGAGTCAGTGATAAAAATTAATGATTTGATGATTTCAGGCTATCTAATTGATTGAGAAGAAAAATAATAACATACAAGCACTGCATCATACTCTTAATATGACTCTTAATGTGTCCATCTTAATATGTCCATCCCAGTTAACATATACTGGGCTTGGAAAAGGCTCAGACACCAGAGGGTTGAAGAGAGCACAGGTGTGAGAGTATTGCAGGGGACACATTTGTTTGTCTAAATGTTTTTGGTAGCAACTCTTTTTTGTCAGCACATCATTACCCCCGTGGTGTCAGCACTGGGAGCTCAGCATGAATAAATCTAGAATAGCATGTGAGAGGAGGCTCTGGGGGGGTTCTTTGCCCAGTATGTTCCTGCAATTCTTTCAGTGGGCCAGCAGAGCATCTCCAGTGCAGGAGGTTTGGAACAGCTCGTGGCCAGTCACAGTTCCTGCTGCACTGCAGAAGATTGGCATGGCTTGGTGTGCTGAAAGCTGAGTGCCAAGTGTTTTTGGGTGTTGAAACTCCTCATGTGTCCATGGCATTAACTCCTCAGTTTCAGGATATTTGGAAGGAAGCTGGCAGTGTTGGTTAAAATACATTCACTTTTAGGAGCATTACAACTCTGGTAGGATCTGTGTACTATTTACAAGTCTTTCTCACAAGCAGATATTTTTTATCCTTTCACTAAATAGCAGATGAAGGACATGCAAAGTAGGGCTCCTTCAAACTTCAAATCAGCATTTGACTGAAAAAAATGAAATATGCAGAAAAAAGATGAATAACTACTGTTTTCTCATGGCTCATTATGCATGAGTCATGGCAGGGTGTTCCATTTCCCAGTGGCAAAGATAGATGCATCTTTCTTAATTGAAGCAAGTCTCCTTAATCCTGGAGAAGCTGAGCTCATTATTCACTGAGAGTAATTCTGGTGCTTTTCATGGCAGCAGAAGGTCTGCATTTCAGAAATGCCAGCAAACACTGCAGTTGGGAGGATTGACTGGCTGTGCCGGGCGTGTGGGACCCTCAGCGGAGGGAAGGCTGGGAAGTGCCATTTTACCTGGCTAAAAGGGAAGGTTTAGCTCCCTGGAGTAGACTGAGGAGGAGCAGATACTGTCACACACTCTTCCTGCAGGGGACTGGTGAGGATCTCAGGGCATTTCCCATGAAAGTTGTGTTTTGCCGATTGCCGGTGAACAAAACCAGCAGCCAGTGCCTGATGCTCCCCAGAGTGCTGCCTGCCTGCACAGCAGGGCACTTCTCCATCTTCAGTGAGCTTGTTTTACTGCTCCTGCTCTAATCTGAGCACGGGGAGCACAGTGGCAGTGGTTACAGACCTGCTCGTGTCCCTGGGCAGGGGTTGGGGGTAGAATAAGTGTTTCACATGTCCTAGAAGAGCACAGGGAAAGGAGGGTGTCTGAGTCAGAGCTGTCATTCCAGCATGTTACAGTTGCTTGTGTAAATCCCCACTTACTGAATTGCAAAATTGCTCCTTTATCCACATACACCAGTGTAAGATATTGTAATGACTGCTTTTGGTGCGTTTGAGGGTCATTTGTCATCCCTTCTGAGTATCACTTGAAAGGGCAAATCTGGTAGTGGTTCACCAGTGGCTTCTGCAAACTCTGCAAGTAGCAGTGAGGTCACGAATCACGCGACTCCTTTCATATGTTCTGAAAGAAAAGACCACTTTAAGCAAAGCATAAATGCAACCATATGCCCATATCTTGGAATCTTCCCTGAAATTTGACAATAAAATTGCTGTGTGTATGATTTGCTTTTAGAGCGGTAGTGTAGCAGCAATTAACTCGCTGGTCTGTTCTAGTTAAGTGTAAAAATGTTTATTGAGTGCAAAATTGGTAGAAGATTAGTAGAAGTAAGACTTTGGTAATTCTTAGAGACAGTGCTTGCCTTTGTTTCCTCCTGGAAGAAAGAGGCAGCAGTGAACACCAGACCAAATCTTGTTGCAGTCAGTTCAGTAGGAGAGGAGTATGCAAAGTGGAGCTGTTGCTGTTTTGTTAATCCTGGTAGAACTCTAAACAGCTACTGTCACACTAATTTAGGACTTGTTGAATGACCATTTCATATTAAGAAAAATCTTTACCACGCAGTTTCCTTTGCTGTTTGGGTCGTGTGGTGATTACAGGCCTTGGTGCCAGCTGTTCTCTCTGTAAACCTTAGGTGAAAGTATCAGGACTAAAATGTCTTAATAACCAGCCAGCCTGTATTAGATGTTCCCAGAGCTGAAGTATGGCTTTAAAACTGTAACTCTGTCAATGTTTTTTAGTATCTCCCTGCAGTATTTGTGTGTGCTGCTTGGAAGCAGCTGTGCCTGTGTACAGGTAAAGTGGGCAGCCTGTTTTACTGTGACTGGTACTGCTGTGACCGACCATCCTTAATTTCCTCTTTCCAGTGCCATTAACTCAAACTGTTTAACAGAATGATTTCTTTAAAGGAGAACTTACATTTGTTTTAATACAGGGGTGCAATCGTCAGAGTTTCCTCGGTTTGGTATTATTGCCAACTTTGCAGGTGCACTGAAAAAGAAAGAATGTGTTAAAATGTGTGTCAATATATGGATTAAATTATGCTTGTGTGTTACCATGTTATAATTCCAGAATTACATAATTCCTAATTCCTGAAGAGGCAAATGTAAATGTTTCCCACTAAAAATGCTGAGGGGAGATGTATTTGGAAATGTGACACACTCTGCCATCTTGCATTGTAGCCTTTCTCTCCAAAATCTTGATACTGAAAACATTTACAGAAAAGGTTAACAGAAGGGAAATAAAATCATTTTGGAAAAAGAGACACAAAACTGTTACCTAACTGTTCTGGAAGTCTCTTGCTGCTTGTTAATGGGGTGTTTAAAGCCTGGCTGCAGGAGCAGGGGGAGAGTGCCCAGAGCTCTGCACCTCCCTGGCTGCTGCATCCACAGCCCTCACCTGGCATTCCTGTTGGTTATGGGGGATCACTGAACTGAGGGGCACAGAATGATTTTGGTGTTAGAAATGGATGCTTTGGTTACTGCTTGAATTGTAAAGTTTCTGCCTTGAATTGGTTATGGTTTTAGCCATGTTAATGCACTGAATAAATTAACTGCCCACGTCCTGATTGCTTTTTTTTGACCTGCAATGTGTGTTTATTGCTGCAGGCAAGAAGACAGCAAGACCCTAGTCCTGGCTCCACCCTGGGCAGTGGAGATGATCTCAAGCTCCGTTAGTCAGCGCCATGGTCTGCACACGTGCATTGCTTCCACTTGGCAAAGGATTTAATAAAAGACCAGAAACTGTGATAACTGGGTATATTATGGTCTGTTCCCTGACCTGCGGCAGTCCAAGTCACCACCAGCTGCCATGGTTTGCACTATGTTGATGTTACAATACCTGCATTTCCCATTTTAAGCATGTAGCCAGTGGCAATTGGAAATTTTGTTTTTTCTATGCAAACTTATTTTTGTTGGCACTATTTTAGTGAAATGGAAACTTATGCAGCTATAAAACCATTTTTCTCAACTGTAATAAAAATTGTCACTTAAAAATAGGTCAAGATATTGCAGATTTAGAACTTTTTTTTTTGGTTGTTTTGTTTTGTTTTTTTTTAAACTGCTGGAAGCCAATGCATTCCAAGCTTAAGTTTTTTAATATGGGCTTTTGGAATTTTGATTGTCCTTACTGTGCTCCTGCTTTATTTTAGATATGCATTCTTATCTTTCTCTCAGTTTTCTTTTTTCCTAAATTTGCAAGACCTTCTGAAAACCGCTGACATTATTTTGCGTTGTTTCCAAGCTGAACCCGGTGAATCAGAGCTGTTGGAATCAGTTTTTCAAACTTTGTGGGTTTGTAAATGTTACAGTTGCAGTATTCTTTTTAACTGCTAACAGTTCATTAGTTCCACTGTTTAAATGATCAAAACCTGTATATTTTGGCACGTCCTGCCCCAGTCCCTGCCTTGGACTCTGCTCTGATCCCGGGAGTGTGGGGGCTGTTCCACCCTGTCCATAGTGCTGGACTGGAGCTCAGAGGAAGTCGCAGGTTGGCTTCTGTTTTATTCAGGGATTTTTTTAACTGGTTCTGAAAAGGGATCCTGCAACTCCACAGCCAGACCCAACAGCCTTCAAACTGGGGACGAGAGTCATCGGCTGCCAAGGTGGCATCTATGAAATCGTGCTTAAGATAACTGCTTGAAGTGTATTTTCTATCTTAGGCTCTTTGTAAAGTTGTGCTGGATGGTGAACAGCTGAGATGAGGTTGTGTGCAGAAGCCTCACACAGCACATTGGCCACTTCTGTTAATTCTTATGCAAGTTAAGACTACATTGCAGTATATATTGCATTTTCTGACAGGGTAAGATTTGGGATGAATTCATGTGTGAATTAACCTTGGTTTATTTGGGGTGATGGTGAATGGACTTGTTCCAAAGTTTTCATTGCATCCAATATTTGAACAAAATTGATTGGAAATGTGATGTCATTTGGCTTTGTTAAAATGTGGTGCTTCCTGTACAGCCTGATTGATTAAAATGTCACTTAAATACCTTTTTAAAATAGGTGATCTTAAATCTAAAATACTTCAGTATTTTAAGAATCATTTTAAAGCTAGAAACTCTGTATGGTTAGAACAGTTAAATCTTTATTAAATTCTATAATTAAGACAGTTGCACATTCCTCGTTAATGGCAAAACAACTGATGCAAAAGAGGTCTTGCAAAAACGTAAGCAGATGTCAATGTGAAGGAGAATCTTTGTATGTTAATAATATGAATATTTAACATTCACTTAAAAATGTCATTAACTGTAAACTGTGAGAATCTCATCAAATAGAAATATTTTGATACTTCAATTTAAATGTGATTCACCTGGAAGATAATCTTTTTCACTCTGTGGCCACGTACTCTTCTTGCTCTTCTTCCCCCAAAGAAGTAATTTTTCTAAAGTGTTTCTGCAAAGAGTTATTTAAGGGACACACGCCCGCAGCCCAGCCTTGGATCTTCTCTGCCATCTGTGTATTTTTGATGGAATAGTCTGAAGATTTATTTTAAAAGGTTTTCCTAACGTTTCAGACGGTGGTTTTAAACCATAAGTACACAGGAAATGACGCTATCAGATATTAACGTTGCTATCTCTGTGTAAATACTGAACTTTCCCTATCATCATTTAGCATTCTGCTGCTTCCCATATCTTAATGCTGGCATTAAGATCACAGCCCTTACCCTCTGCTGGTTAGTGCAGACTTTTTAAAGTGCATTTTAAGTTATTGATGCAATTTGATATTTTTCATAATTTCTATTTAAACTTAAAGTTGCATCATCTTTCTCGAATTCATCTCCTGTAAGAGTTGCCTTAAGCTACAGGATTGCTTTTGCTACTTTTTGTGTTGTATGTTTAACTTTCATAATAAACTTCTGTGTAGTGAAAACACGGTGCTGTAAGTTTATTTCTGGCTGGCTGGCAGTCCAGGCTGAGGTGTTGGTGTCGATGGGGTGACTGTGCCCGTGCCAGGCTGCCCTGATGGCCGTGGATAAAGCAGCAGTGACATCCAGTGGTCACTGGACTAACCAACCCCCTCCCTCGTGTTCAGCAGCTCTCCAGGAGGGAACCTTCAATAAGAGGGGAAAACGTGGATGGTGCTGCCCTGCAATTCTTGTTTCTCAGAACTGATGTGCCCTGCTTGCTCTGAAAGCTGCACCTCGTGGGGTTGTCCTGGCTGTGTGTGCTCACAGGGCAGTGTTGTTTGTGGCCACGTTGTCACAGCAGCCATCAAACCTCGTTCACTGGGCTGCTCTGGGCCAGGGAGAACCAGGGGGGGCTGCACGTTGGAATTCAGGAATGGGGGAATGTGATAAAGCACTGTGGGCACAATACCAGTATTTAGTGCTTCCCTGAAGCTGCTAAAATTGTAGGTGCTCTGACTTCAAATAGTTAATACTGGATGAGTGACAGTGGTGCTTATGTGCTGAAATCAGGTAGAGCATTGCTTAATAACTGGAGAGCTGCTGTCTGCTCTGAGAGCATTTACATGCCAAAAGACAGCGAGTAACCTTATTGTACTTTCACAATCTGTGACCAGATCAGAGAACAACTCATAAAAAACAGCCCTGCTGTGACCCGTGGCTTTCCTGAAGATGCTCTTCAGTTTGGAAGGAAGGCAGCTTGTAAAAGAGAGTACAGGGAAGGATTTCTTCCCCATATCTAATCTAAACCTCCCCTTTCTCTCAGTTTGAAGTCATTTCCCCTTGTCCTGTCACTTCATGCCCTTGTTGAAAGTCCTTCTCAAACTCTTGTAGCACTTGTAGTTACTGAGGGGGCTCTAAGGTCTTCTTGGAACCTTCTCCCCCTTGAACAACTCCTCTGTCCATAGGAGAGGTGCTCCAGCCCTCTGAGCTCCTTTACGGCCTCCTCTGGATTTGCTCCAGCAGGTCCATGTCCTTTTCTTGGGGGTCCCAGGGCTGGATGCAGCAGTGCAGGTGGGGGGCTGTGTTTAGTCCATTTACTGAAGTTCTCAGAGCCTGGATGAGCAGGTTTCCTGTGTTTAGTCCATTTACTGAAGTTTTCAGAACCTGGATGAGCAGGTTTCCTGTGTTTAGTCCATTTACTGAAGTTTTCAGAGCCTGGATGAGCAGGTTTCCTGCTCTCTCTTTAAGGGAACAGCAGCTGTGCCATGCTCATGGTCCCCCTTCTGAAAGCAGAAAACAGAAAATGAAGCTGGGGGTGAAAACAGCCCCTTTTCTGTTCCTGAAGGGCTGTGGTGGTTTCTCTAATAACAAGCCTTGTTCAGGTGAGGGCTGGGAAGTTAAATGAAGGAGATGTGGTGGTGGAGAACTCCAGAACTGCATGGCCTAGCACTGTCAGCAGGACTTCTGTATTTATTATTGCTTGTCAGTAGTTCAGGTCTCCACTCTGTCACAGGTGTAGTAAAGAATCCATCCTGTCTGCAGAGAAGAAGGACCAATTTCTGTGAAGTTACATTATTTTTTTTTGCTACATTTCCAATGCAAATAAGAGAATGACAAAAATGGCTTCAAGGATGAGAATTACAGTGAGAAGTTGGAGCAGAGTGAACATTTGCATGGGCAACATTTCTCATAGCTCATTTGCCTGACATCCTGTCTTCACACTGCCATGAAATGCAAATCCCAGGCCATGCATATTCATCAGCTGCTGCATGCTCGGAGCTGCTCGGGGTTTAAGTAACTATTAAATGGGTTTCTCAATTACAGGTTGAGATAAGTGAATTTTCAGAGTTGCCTTGGGCTCATTTCTTAAAGCTCAGGAGTGAGAGAAGGAAAAAGTAGCACAGAGGAGCCGAGTGCTGCCTTTGCTGGTGCTGTCCCCCAGGACAGAGGGGGGCTGGGGAAGGATGGGGGAAGAAGGGGGAACCCAAAATGCTCCTTGCTCAGCTGAGTGCCTCTTCCTGAGCCTTGTCCACAGTTTGTCACAGCTGCTGAGACCTTTGCCAAGGCTTGGGTGCTCCCCACAACTCTTCTGATGTGTAACTCTGTTTTCCACCCTGTTGGACTTGACAATATGGGCATGGGAGATGTGGGTTTTCCCAGTGCTCCCCTTTCCCTTGGTCCACAGGCTGATTCTCTGTTTTCTGTAGGAACTGCTGCCGTTATTGCCTTTTCCCCTTTGCAATCTTCTCTCTTCCCCAGAGCAGGTGATGGGTTTAGCTTGAAAACAGAAAGACCTTCTAGACTGGAGCAAAGTTTGTTCCTGAAAGCTCCTGGCTCTTCCTGCTGTTACCCACTGGTTTGCTGGGAGAGTCTGTCCCTTTGAGCCTTTCCCAGCTGCACCCCCAGCCCTTCCAGCTTTTGCTGTTCACACCTTACAAAACCCCAGCAAAGTGCAGGTGTAGAGAAACAAGCAGTGGAAGAGAACTGGAGCTTTTTGGCTGTGGGATGCACTTGGCCCCATCACTGCCTGTGTGACTGTTCCTGGAGCAGATGACTGGGGGGGCTGTGCTGCTGCTGCAGGATTTGGGAAGCATTTCAGGGCTTCAGCCCTTCCCAGCAGTGATGCAGATCATGGCTGCTCAAGCCGTGCTCCTTGGCAGGGCTCAGGCATGAAGAGCTGAGGTTGGCATGGGGAGAAGGGAGCTGGTTCAGGGAAGAAGCCCCGGGAAGGTGGATTTGACCACGTGGTTTGGGTGTAAGGCTTTGGCTTTGGGAAGGGAGCAGGTCCTGAGCACATCAGGGTGGAGGAGAAGATGGGGAGGAAGGGCTCCCAGCAGGGCAGGGGTTACTGTCCCTGCCCTCCCTTCACAACTCCCTGTTGTGTCTGCCCCTGCTTTTCGGTGGCCAAAAGGGTTGTGGCTCTTGGTTTGAGCTTTGAGTGGGGCCACACTGGGTGCTCATCCCCAGGGTGGTGGTTCTGGGTGCTGACAACGGGATTTGTTCCAGTCTATGGATTTGGTGAGGGGAGTGGGAGGGATTTCCCTCAGTATGAGCAAGGATGCAGCATCTGGACCCCCTGCACCCTGTGGGAGTCCCTGACCTGTCCCACCTCTGCCTTCGGCTGGAGATACAACACTATCCCCTGCCCTCCCTCCCTGCTGCACTGAGCCCTGTGCAGAGGTGGGTGTAGATCTCCTTTGTGATCATTTATCACAGCTGTTCAGGAGCTGGGGCTGAGCAGGACTCGCCCCAGCAGCTGGTTCCCAGCAGGGCAAACACTGTCAGACAGGGACAACGTCCCTGCTGGGAGGCACTTGGGCCTTCAGTGGCATTCAGTGGCCAGAAGTATTGAATTCATTGCCAAGGCTCATTCCTGGCTTGTTCAGTTGACTTGTCCATTATGAGTCAGTGATGCAGCTCCTGGTTTGCATTCTGTCCAGTCTTGGTGCTGTTCTTCTCAGCTCCTGAAGGATGTGGGGCAGGAGAGGTCGGTGGCAGCTCCATGTTCAGCTGCAGGTGTCAGTGCCTCTTAAAGTCCTGCCCACCTGGATGTTGAAATTGCCCTCAAACACCAGCCTCAATCTGCTCCTCAGTGGCCTTTCCTGGTGCCCCAGGCTCTCTGGCTGCTGTCTGTGCCTTGCCACCAGCCTGCAGCTCCTCAGGTAGCCTGTCCTCAGAGCCAGGAGCCTGTGCCCACAGTGCTGCAGTCCAGGAGGAGGGGACAGCTGGGGATGCTCAGCCCTGCATAGGAGCCAGCTGTGATCCAGCTGCAGGTCATAGAACCATGGAATGGTCAGGGTTGGAAGGGATCTTAAAGAGCATCCAGTCCAACCCCCTGCCATGGGCAGGGAACCTTCCAGGTCGTTTGCCCTGGCTGTGTTTGGGGTCTGGGGGCCAGGGTGAGCAAGGCAGGCAGGGATAGGCAGTGCTGCATGCACAGACTGCTCCTGAGCTTCTGAGCTGCCCAGGGAGTGCCTCCTGCTCGGCTCAGAGCAGCTGCTGCTGCTGAGGAGTCCCCGAGTGCTTTCCTGGCAGCGACGGCCCCAGCCCGGAGCCACTCTGCGGATGCTCCCACACAGAGCACAGGACAGATCCTCTTTTTGGTTCTGCTTTCAGTTCTGCTGTGCAGACACGGCTGGGGTGTGACTGGGACCTGCTGCTGGTGGTCCTGGGGGCTGCGTGACTCTCTGAAACCACCACCGCCCACAAGGTGCCTGAGTCACCAGCTCCTTCACCCTCCTGCACCCTCTGCTCTGCACCCGGGCAGGAGGGGCCAGCAGGACCTTGGGGCACCCCACGGGGACGAGGAACCTCGAGCATCTCTCTTGTTGGTTCTGCCCATCACAGCCCGTGGTTCCAGGCACTCCCACACCGCTCATTGACCAGAAGGCAGTGACAAAGCGGGCAGCCAGAGATCTTCAGGGGCTCTGAGAGGGACCCTGCAGCTCTGACTCATCTCCTGTTAAGTGACAACCCCCCAAGCACCAGGGCTGGAGCAGGCTGGGGTGGGGCTGACCCCTCTGCCCCCTCCTCTTGCGCTCTGCCCCACGGCCCTTCCTCATCATCCGCTCTGACACTCAGACATCCACTTGGGAAACATCTCAGGAGGTGAAACTCAGCCCGTGTGAAGCCCTGCCACCCATGCAGCACTCCTGGCTCCATAAACCCTTGGAATAAGGCGTTTGGGGATTATATAGAATTGTACATGGGATTCTATAGAACCCCCAAATCCATCTGTTACTTTTTTTCCATAAAACCTGTGCTTTAAATTATTTTATCTTTATAGAATCCCCCTGCTTTGCCCCAGGGTGAATTTTCCCACGAGTTTTCGATGCACAGTTAAAACCCCAAGTGCCCGGCTGGGCAGCAGCCAAAGGGAGGATGCAGTGGCCAGGGGCTCGCTGGAAGGACAGACGGCCCCCCTGGCAGAGCTGCTGACGCCGGTGGTCCTGTGCTGACCGATCCAGGAAGGACCGACTGCCCATCACCTCTGCCCGCTGTCCCCGCTGCCCGCCCGGCACGGCGGGCTGGGCTCCGCACCCTGCCCACGCCTGGCAGCGCCTCCCGGGCTGAACCACCGCCAGGAGGAAACAGAAACCAGCGCATCTGTTTCTGATGAAGCCGGAGCCAGTTTAGATCCAGCCCCGCACGAATCAGAGCTTTTAAAACCGTATCTGGAAGGGACGAGTCGTGCGAAGCGCACGGCCCCGCTGCTGCCCCGCGGTGAACGGGCCCCCCCATCGGCAGCTCTCACCCTGCTCCCTCGCTGCCCTGAACGCTCCACGCTCATCCCCCGGCCCTCCTCAGCCCCTGCCCTCGGCCCGGCCCTGCAGAACGCCCTGTGCTTCTCGGGCAGGGTCTGAGAGAGCATCGCGACATCCTCGGGGCAGCGCTGGGACCGTCCCGTTCCTGCCCATCTCCAGACACCAAGCGCGCTGCAAAAATGCACGGGAGCTTCTGGAGCTGCCAGGAACCCAAATCCTGCCGTGTGAGAAGTGATGTCGTGACCACCTCGGTCCTGACAGGGCACGGCGTGTGCCAAAGCCTCGCCGTGCTCGCCGGCCCGTGCCAGGCACCCATCACCTGCCCGCTCCTGGCCAGACACAGAATCACCTCAACAACCTCTGAAACTGAAACCATCCCGGCAGGGCAGGGCAGGGCAGGGCAGGGCAGGGCAGGGCAGGGCAGGGCAGGGCGTGCTCAGCAGCGGGCCAGGAGGGCAGAAGTGCTGAGCCAGCGAAAACCGGAGCACCGGGTTTGGGAAAGGCCGGGTTCGGTGCTGCCAACCCTGCCCACCCGGGCACCCCCACCCTGGCACCGATGGGGCTCTGCCCACCTCGGTGGCACCCGAAGCTCCTGGCTGTGGGATAAATCCCCCTGGAGAGGTGGGATAACCCCCCTTTGGAGAGTCCCAACCCTTCCCCCAGCACAGGAGCAAGGCTGCCCCCCATCGCAGTCTGGATCCACTCGTAACTGCCAGCCCAAAACTGCGCCACGGGGCACGCACCCCCCGAAAAACCAGCGCAGCTTCAGAGCTTTGTGGCGAACACCCTTCCCCGAGCGAGCAGCGCTGCCGAGCCCGGGGCTGTTTCCAGCCCGTTTTTCGGGCAGCCAAGGGGCAGATTCGAGCCCAGAGCCGCTCCGTGCCCGTCCCGTCGGGAGAGGGCAGCTCTGCCTCGCTCCGAGCCGCCAGCGCTTCCCCACGCGCGGCTCCATCCCACGAGAGCCCCGGCGAGTTTTTAGTCCCTCCCGGTAACTTTTGCATTTTTTTCCCCCCCTTTCTTTTGACCGGCTGGATTGCAAAGCCCGGCTCTTTTCTACCACCATCCACCTGCAGACGAGAGGAATTTAGGAAAATTAAGTAAGCTGGGAACCTGGATTGTCTCCGATGGGATGTACCCACTGCCGTTCCTTCAGTCAGAAACCTTTAACAACTGAGCCAGGCTTTAAATATTGATCACAGTTTTCAGAAAGCTGCACATTGCTTCCTAAGCCCTGGGGCTGAATTTGGGCATTTTCCAAGGAGTGCTCCATAATCTGGAGAGCGAGGAGGGTAATTTTATTCTTTTAAAATTTAATTTTTGCCTGTCACGAGCGGTTGCCCAAATGATGACGCTTTGCCCGATCTGCCTTGAAAATGCCATCCTGCCTGGAGTGGCTGGGGAGCCAGGGGGGCTTCTCCAGTCACTCTGGGGGGGTTTGATTTCAGCTGCCCACACTGGTCCCCACTCAGGACCCTCAGCACTCTGGTTCTGGGGGGAGGGCAGGCAGAGGGGGCTCCGTCCCAGCACCCCACAGATAACTCTGCTCCCCCTGAGTGCAGGTGCCCAGAGCTGCCAGGGGGAGAACACCCCGCTGTCCCCGGGCACTTTGCTGGGTTTGGGGCAGAACAGGTGTTGGAAGGAGCTGGGAATTTTCATAACTGCTGGCTCAGCTGTGCAAAACCCATGACCCAGCCCAGCCTGCAGGAATGCAGGGAGGATGCCTCAGGTGCCTGGGGAGGCTTCCTCTGCCCAGGATTTTGGTGTCAGTGGTGGGCATGGGTGCAGGGGATGTTCCATCTCAGCTGTGCCTTCACTTGCTCCCCTTCAGGACGCTGTGTGGGATTTTCAGCCAGCTGGGATTTCCCTCCTCAGCCTGGGGAGCCCCTGCAGGGAGCAGCAAGCATCCCAGGCCGTGGGGTGCCACTGCCCTTGCCTGGCCCTGCCCAGCTCGCTCTGCCCTCCCGGCTGTGCCAGGGCTGTGGTTGAGCTCAGGGGGGTGGAAGGGGCTGGCATTCCCCTGTTCTCCATCCAGCATCCCCACCTGAGGGCTGCCCCTGCCCTGGGCCTGCTGAAAAGTGGTGCTGTGTGTCCTTCCTGCCCTGTGAAATGACTGGGCTGGTCAGATTTCTCTACAGTTATTCTCTCAAGCACAGCCCTTATGGATGTCACTATGTGAATATATAGATATATAAAATATGTAAATATTGTCTATATACATATCCATATTTTATATATATAGTGATTTGGAGATACTGGGTGGCTCATAAGGATTAGCCCCTGCTCCTGGGAGAGGAAAGGCTAATTTCTCTTTCTGAGCCAATAAAGATGTGTCAGAGGGCTGGAGTGAAGGGGAAACATTGGCAGCACCTCTGTGCTTTTCAGCATATTAAGATGTCACCGTGCTTGCCTTAAAAAAAAAAAAGCAAGCAAGGCATGAATAATAAATAGAGCAACGTGCAGCTGACTTCAAGGGAAAGCTGATTTCCCTGGGGCTTGCTCCACACCATATACATTAAAATCTCACCTGCTTTGACAGCTCTGTGACCTGAACAGGGATGCTGAGAAATGTGGTGTTCAGAGCAGAACCTGGCCAAGGTCCTGCTCCCAAACGTGACTGGGATTTCTTTCTGAGCCTTTGATTCCCCTGCCAGCAATGGCTTGCTCTGCCTGTTGGGAAGGAGGTGTAGTGGAACCCACCTGAAATAATGTTTGACTCTTCCTTTTCCTCTTTTAAATACGAGATCCCCAAACTTCTGTGGCTGTGGCTGGTGGGAGTTCTCAGTGGATGTTTTCTGTCCTGCTGGGGGATATTCCCTGTGATGGGGCTGGCCTTGCTG